ACTGGTCAGGAAGGGGTTAACATGAGGGGCGATCAAAGGGTTAACTGTATGCTGTTTCACAGTAAGCTCTGTGTGTGTGCTTCACTGTAATCACACTGCTTGATTGGCTGTGCTGTGCACAGTCATCCAAAGCAGTGTGCACGAGCTGACAGGGATGAGAGCTGTATTGTTTACCCGTCGGAGATCCTCGGAAATCACCGGTTGCTAGCGAGTAATCATTGATGGCCGTGAATGGTGGTAGGGCACACACGCGCCCCCTACCCGGGAATGCAAAATCATGTGTATATATATATATACAGTCATGGCCGAAATTGTTGGCACCCTTGATATTTCTCCAGGAAATCATGTATTTCTCACGAAACGTATTGCATTAACACATGTTTTGCTATACACATTCCCTTTGTGTGTATTGGGACAAAACAAAAAAAGGGAGGAAAGAAAGCAAATTCGACATAATGTCACACAAACCTCCAAAAATGGGCTGGACAAAAGTATTGGCACCCTTTCACAACTGCGGATAAATAAGAATGTTACAAGCATGTGATGCTCCTGTAAACTCACCTGGGGCAAGTAACAGGTGTGGGCAATATAGAAATCACACCTGAAAGCAGATAAAAAGGAGAGACGTTCACTTAACCTTTGCATTGTGTGTCTGTCTGTGCCACACTAAGCATGGACAACAGAAAGAGGAGACGAGAACTGTCTGAGGACCTGAGAACCAAAATTGTGGCAAAATATCAACAATCTCAAGGTTACAAGTCCATCTCCAGAGAACTAGATTTGCCTTTGTCCACAGTGCGCAACATTATCAAGAAGTTTGCAACCCATGGCACTGTAGCTAATCTCCCTGGTCGTGGACGGATGAGGAAAATTGATGAAAGATTGCAACGCAGAATAGTCCGGATGGTGGATAAGCAGCCCCAAACATGTTCCAAAGACATTCAAGCTGTCCTGCAGGCTCAGGGAGCATCAGTGTCAGCGCGAACTATCCGTCGACATTTAAATGAAATGAAACGCTATGGCAGGAGACCCAGGAGGACCCCACTGCTGACACAGAGACATAAAAAAGCAAGACTACAGTTTGCCAAAATGTACTTGAGTAAGCCAAAAGCCTTCTGGGAAAAACGTCTTGTGGACAGATGAGACCAAGATAGAGCTTTTCGGTAAAGCACATCATTCTACTGTTTACCCGAAAACGGAATGAGGCCTACAAAGAACAAAACACAGTACCTACGGTAAAAATGGTGGAGGTTCAATGATGTTTTGGGGTGGGGTTTTGCTGCTCTCTGGCACTGGGTGCCTTGACTGTGTGCAAGGCATCATGAAATCTGAGGATTACCAAAGGATTTTGGGTCGCACTGTAGGGCCCAGTGTCAGAAAGCTGGGTTTGCGTCCAAGATCCTGGGTCTTCCAGCAGGACAATGACCCCAAACATACGTCAAAAAGCACTCAGAAATGGATGGCAAAGAAGCGCTGGAGAGTTCTGAAGTGGCCAGCAATGAGCCCAGATCTAAATCCCATTGAACACCTGTGGAGAGATCTTAAAATTGCTGTTGGGAAAAGGTGTCCTTCCAATAAGAGAGACCTGGAGCTGTTTGCAAAGGAAGAGTGGTCCAAAATTCCGGGTGAGAGGTGTCAGAAGCTTATTGATGGTTATAGGAAGCGACTGATTTCAGTTATGTTTTCCAAAGGGTGTGCAACCAAATATTAAGTTAAGGGTGCCAATACTTTTGTCCAGCCCATTTTTGGGGTTTTGTGTGACATTATGTCATATTTGCTTTTCTGCCTCTGTTTTATATTTGTTCCAATACATACAAAGGGAATAAACATGTGTATAGCAAAACATGTGTTAATGCAATACCTTTTTTGTGTGAAATACTTGATTTTCAGGAAAAATATCAAGGGTGCCAACAATTTCGGCCATGACTGTATATATATATATATATATATATGTGATTTTGCGCACCAGTGCTGCCCTGTAGCAGTATATAGGGCGGTCAGGAAGCGGTTAACACCTGTTTTTTTTGGACGGAAGAAAACCCTATTTTTCTTCCGTTAAAAAAAAAAAACAAAACAAAAGCGGAATTGATGAAAAACAGATGAAAACTGATCTTTTTTTCTTTGAAAAAACATGACTGAACTGAAGAGAAAAACGAAACGCCCGTGTGAAAAGACCCTTAGATTTCTGATTTGGTTCCTATGGGTTATAGCGTGTTGTCAATCATTGCTGCTCTTTCATTAACCCTTTCCTGCCCCCTCCCAACAGCCCTTTAACTGGGACTTATGATGGGAGGCAAGAAATCAATTACTGTACATTCATTCCACAATCAAATGTTATTACTGAAGTGCAGCAGTTCAGCTGTTTTGTAACAAGTGAAGGCACACTGTGGTTTATGTCCAAAGAGTTGCATGCCATCTCCTGGACTGATCCCTATTATTTACATCAGATAGATTTATAGAACTCCTGGATGACCTCAATCGCTGTAGTTCCTGGAGCCCGATGCTGGACCTTCTGGTCTCAGCATCTTCAACAGTAGAGTCAATGCAGCTGCTATGCCCACCTCTCTCCTCTGCTGCCCATTCCCAGAAGCCTTTGTATTTTGTGAATGAATTCACATAATGTAAAGGCTTCTGTGATTGGGCAGGAGGAGGGGAGGCATGAACATAGCAGCTGCATCAAAACTACTGTTGAAGATGCTGAGACCAGAAGGTCCAGCATCTGGTGGCATGCACCTCTTTGGATGTAACTCATAGTGTGCCTTCACTTTTTAAACAGCTCGAAGTTCAGCTTGAACATCCATTGATTATAGCTGTCCAGATTTGTGTAGCTATAGCAGACTTGACCTGTTCATTTTGCATTGTGATTTAAAACCCCCCAAATCTAGTCACTCCTAAAGTAAAATGAAATTAAATTTGTCCTTTGGAAGGATTACAGTAAAAATCTTCATTTGTATTTATCTGACGTGTCTTTTTTGATACAGAATGGTTGGATGAATGTGATGAAGCTGAGGTCATTGAGGGAGACGAGCCTAAAGTCCTAGGACATGACCGCTGGGACATATGTTCACTCCTGTCACGGCACTGTCTTGCCTTTGCAGAATAGTGGAGATGTTTTCAATGTATTGTGTTACACATAGGCCTGTGTGGGTCTTGTAGCTGGCTGTGATTGTAGAAGGCACAGGGAACGCACTGTATGTCTTCTGGATGGTTTATCAAAGCGGATACATTGGTCGTTCTGCAACACTGAGGCTGCGCTCACATGATCAGAGTGCCTTTAGTCCTTCTGCAGTGTCTTTTTTTTGTTTGTATTTGTACAGACATTTTTTTCAAACATCTGAGGCTTCAGCATTTTTAGCCAATGGAAAGCTAGTTACAAGGGAAAAAAAATGTGCAATAAGGGCATTTTTGTGTGTTTTTCTCATGCATTTTTCCAGGTGCTCCCATTAAAGTCCAAAAATATTTGGGCGGGTCCATGACATCCTGCACACCAGGAAGTGAATTGAATGATACTGGGTGTCAGTCAACCTAGGAAAGGACCATGCAATGAAAAAAAAAATAGTATAGTCAATTAGTGTACTGTCCAGGAAAGAAAAAAATCGATCATAAGTTTGAAAAAATTATTCAATGCGCCATAGGCTCAAAGTGTAACTGAAGGGAAAACTTTTTTTTGTTTTGTTTTGGATAGAGTGGAGGGGGATTAGGACACCTAGCAATTTTTATTGGTGTCTGTGCCCTGATGGGGAGATTCACCCTCTATTTGTCCTGTTGACCATTATAAGTGAAAAGAAAATCCCACATTTTCGGTTGTCTCCAGAACAGTAATAGTGAAGAAATCTTCCAGTGGGGGAAGTGAAGGTAAATCTTCCCTATGGGACTGTCACAGTGTGCCTTCACCCTCCCCCCTTTCCGCGTCCTCATCCTGCACACAGCCTCAGAGGCCAGGCTGTGCAGGATGGGGGGAGGGGACCCCTGCGGCGAGGATCACAGCTCATCTGGCAATCTAGGCGGAGGAGCTGTGACCCCCCCCCCCCAGGAGACCCCAGCGGCAGGCCGCCAAGGTGTCTCGGTGTGCCTCCCGGCGGGCACAGCGCGGGCACGAAGCATTCCCGCGCTCTGTGCCCACCAGAGACAAAGGCCGCGCTCCCTCAGCGCGGCCCAAGTGAGGGGGGGTGCCTCGTTGCCCCGGCAACCTGACGCTGGGCTGGCCATTGCCGGTCAACCCAGACGCGTCCCACGCGGCTTTTAAAAGGTCGGCGCGAGACCAGGCCGGTCTCTCTCCTCCTGTGCCGCTGCTGGAGTGCGGGCCGCTGGGGGGCCCGGTGTGGGGGGACTGGGCCTCCGCGGCCATCCCCGCTGCACACTCTGTGGGAGACTCCCCCAGGGGTCTGGGCTATTGTCCGCTGCCACTCTGCAATACTCCGGGGCTGGGAGTGTCCGTGGAGGCTGCCTGTGTGTGTGTGCTCGTTCCTGCTTGGGACGGGGTGCTGTGCGGGGTCTGCGCTGAGGCCAAGCCCCTGCAAGCCTGCTGTGTCCCTACCTGCTGAAGCTCGCTGTGCCCCTGTCTGCTGATTGCTGGGCCCCTGGGAAGCCGCCCTGTCTGCTGATTGCTGGGTCCCTGGGAAGCCGCCCTGTCTGCTGATTGCTGGGTCCCTGGGAAGCCGCCCTGTCTGCTGATTGCTGGGTCCCTGGGAAGCCGCCCTGTCTGCTGATTGCTGGGCCCCTGGGAAGCCGCCCTGTCTGCTGATTGCTGGGTCCCTGGGAAGCCGCCCTGTCTGCTGATTGTTGGGTCCCTGGGAAGCCGCCCTGTCTGCTGATCGCTGGGTCCCTGGGAAGCCGCCCTGTCTGCTGATCGCTGGGTCCCTGGGAAGCCGCCCTGTCTGCTGATCGCTGGGGCCCTGGGAAGCCGCCCTGTCTGCTGATCGCTGGGGCCCTGGGAAGCCGCCCTGTCTGCTGATCGCTGGGGCCCTGGGAAGCCGCCCTGTCTGCTGATCGCTGGGGCC